TGATTGGAAAGAATGACACAAAGTTGTTGCAGTGTTTTGCAAACAACCGACTGTCTGTTATAGATACCTTCTTCGAGCACCGAACCGTGCATCAGTATGCCAGGTATAGAAAAGTGTGCTTATAGAAGTCAATGATTGATTTGATGGTCGTATATTTGACAGTCGACACTTTGATCACTTTGTGACTTTCTGCAGTGGACGTTCACATTAAGAGAGTCGCAGAGTTATCATCCGATTATCACCTAGGTATTCTCCATTGCAAATAATGGAGCACCATGTGAGAACATGGCAGCAAAGCAATCAGGCAAACAAATAGAAACTCGTATATGCCATCCACCGTGGATACGACTGTAGAACTTCCAAACAGCATCGCCGACAGTTTTAGCCGATCCAATTAATGACCGCTGATACGGAAACTGAGTGGAAGCTCTTCGAGAGCAGGCTACTCGGAGCTGCCACAGAGTCTTGCTTTATAAAACAGGCTATCCTGCTGCCTAGAGTTCAGAAACATGCTTCATGGTGAACTTCCTTCACAAGAAGAAAACTTCATCCGGAAGGTTAAAAGGTAACTTGAAAGGAAAGGGCGTTCAATTCTATTGCATTACAATGAGGCCCGAAAGGCCGCAACGAAAGTAGCGACGCGACCGAAAGCCAATTCCTGGAAAAGGCTCGTTGAGGTGCTGCAGTCGAATTTACATAAGGTAAACAAGTTTTCCTGGCAGACCATTCGTCGGCTCCGAGGTGAAAAGAAAGGCAGTCCAAGAGTCTTGAAGGAGGGGTCTGGACAACCTCTACCGAGGATGATGACATTCTTCGGCAATGGAGGGAGTAGTATGAGGAACTCCTTAACCTCGCGCAACCGCAGGAAGACTCGCCTCTACAGCAGCAGGGAAAGGATATTACTATTTCTGTAGATGAAATTACACAAGCCGTGAAGAGCTTGAAAAATGGAAAGGCTCCTAAAATTGATGAAATCAGCCCTGAAATGCTTGAGGCTTTAGGCAGACAATGCATGTGCTGGCT